GCAGCATGCCCAGACATGGTATATATATCCTCCTAAATCCAAAGAAGCCCACTAAGGGGCCAACAGAAGGCATGGTGGTTACGGGTGCTGGATGCCCACATGGCTGACCATGGTTCAAGTTCCAGACCTGGCAGCTTACTCTCTCTCTCTCTCTCTCTCTCTCTCCCCCTCTCTCTCTCAGTCACTCTGTCCCTCTCTGGTCAAATTAAAATAAGTAAATTTTTAAAAAGGTAAATAAAAATAATTCTTTAAAAAAAAAAAAAAAGAGAAGCCCACTAAGGATTGGTTTCTTTCTTGGTGAGTGGTGATGCAAGGAATACAACTTATCTTTTATTTTAGAGGAGCTATCCTAATATGTTCCAGGTCACTTGGAGCCCTAGAAGTGTCACCTATGTAGCAGGCACCTGAACTTTCAGAGAACTTATCTCCTATCCTTTGGTCATAAGGCATCTCAGGTGCTTGCTTCTTGCTGCTCATTGGGATCACTAGCACAGAGTCTGTGGGCTAAAAAGACGATCAACTTCCTTTTGGAACAGATTATGACAGCGTAATTTAAGATAACCCTGAGGTAAGAGAGTGAGATCAAAACTTCTGATTATTGCTGATGATTGCATTTGCTAGGGAAACAGGTGCCAGAGGCTGGGTTCATTTGCTCCAGTAAAGACATCACCTTGGGCTGGAAAAGTCCATAGCCTAGTGGTTAAGGGAGCCAGATTCCACACAGTCAATTAAGATTTGAATCCCAGGCCTGCAGCTTGAAAAACACACAGAGCATGTTTGTGTACATGCTCAAAATCCCAACAGGATAGAGAAATGAAGGAAAAAGGATTGTGGTGTGATCATGCCCCATGGGGGTGTTCTCTCTCTCTCTGCCTCTCTCTCTCTCTCTCTCTTGCATGCATGTCATGCATGTCTTCCAGCAATTAAAAGAGAAAGACACCACCTCGGGAACTACAGCTGTGATTGAATTAATTTGATAATAACTCAAGTCAGCTTGTGGTGTGCTGATAAAGAGAGCTGGATTCCAAATGGTCAACTGTGTAGTTTGAGTTATTGCACCAGCTGCTTGAAAAAGATGCCGGTTATGTGTGCCTAAAATCCCAAAAGGAGGGAAAAATGGAGGAGAAGGAATTGTGGCATGACCAGCCCCATGAGAAGGGGCACTTTATCTCTCCCACCCTTATCTCTCCAGCAAGTGCAAGTGCCCCTCTGGCAAAGTAAAACAATAGAAACAAAAAACAATAACTCACAACCATTCTCCAAAACCTGTATGGGTTTTTTTCCAGAGGCCAAACAAGCAAGTTAAATAGGAATGCCCTTAGGAATCACCACATTTTTATTTTTCGGATTCTTGGTTTTGGCTTTAATCTCTTCCGTTGTCCCAGGAATTCAGTATTGCTTTGGTAGTAGGTGAGGAGGGAAAACTACAGTCCCAGGCATTGCTACTTCCTACTTCCCCCCCTCCATGGATCAGACAATGTGTGGTGATTCTGTCAAGATGGATGCCAGTTCTCACTGAAATGGACTCAAACTAAGACTTCATTTATCACTGACTCCAATATGGTGATAAACCACAGTGACACACTGGATCTCCAAGAATTCACACCAATTCAGAGCCAGGATCTGGTAACCTTTGGAAAGTTCTGGATATTTCCTTTCCTTTGGTTATGGTTCTCTAGAAAATAACCACAGGTCCCAGAAGATGACTTGGAAGATTTAAAATATACATCTTTGATAACATTGCAGCAGGGTCCTTTCCCAAAGAAAAAAGAGAATGGCCTCCCTCTCTCTCTTTTTTTTTTTTAAGAATTATTTATCTAATTTTGTTATTATTATTTATTTTTTGATTTGATCAGAGAGAGAGAGAGACAGAGAGATGCAGCAGGGTCCTTTCCCAAAGAAAAAAGAGAATGGCCTCCCTCTCTCTCTTTTTTTTTTTTAAGAATTATTTATCTAATTTTGTTATTATTATTTATTTTTTGATTTGATCAGAGAGAGAGAGAGACAGAGAGACAAAGAGAGAGAGGGAGAGAAAAGGAAAAGTGAGAAAGCAAGGTGCCAGGTCCAGGACTCAAACTGTGGTCATTCATATGGGAGTCCAGTGTCTTAACCACCACACCACCTGCTGCTCTCCCTTTTTTTAAAAGAATTATTTAATTGGGACCAGCAGTTAGCGTAATGGCTATGTCGCTGGACCCCCCC